GGTCGTCCTCCTCTCTCTCTCTCTCTCTCTCTCTTCCTCTCTCTCTTCCTTCTTTTTGATCGTTGGTGGGTTCTCAAATTTCCTCGAATTAAGGGTGCTGTGATTTTTGGGGTTCTTTATCTCGTGAGTCATGACTAAGAAGTTTCACCCATGGCGTGGGAATGGAGTGTGTTTTCTCAAAGAGTCTCAATTTCCTAGCAACCCAGCCAAATGCTTGACTTATCCTTTTCATTGCTCTTAGTGGGAGACATTGTTGTCTTTGTATGAATGGAAGAGTGTGCTCTGAAATAGTCGAGGTAATGACCTCATGGAATAATAAGGAGAGTGGGGGAATGGGGTGTTCTTGTTGGTTTATTTGTTCCTCATGCTCTGGGTTTGGTAGTTGGAACCTAGGGCTTGTGTTTTTTATTCGAACTCTATCATTTTCAGGCTCTGCCACTATTTCATAGTCCATTAGTACACCATCCCTTGTCTACTCTTTTGTAGTCTGTGATGGAAAATTGTTTCAGGTAACACTGGTCATATTAAAAAATCTGAAGGGGCATATTTGCGATACTTAGTAAGGTATACTTTTACTGGAAAATGAGCTCCAGTTTCTGGCTTTACAGACATTTATTTAGTTTTTCCTTGTTATTAATAGCAACTTCTGCCAAATACCTATAATTCCAGGTGATTAACATTTGATGTGATATACTTACTTGCTAGAAAGCAATGTGGTGAAGCAGCAGCAACTTTATGTGTTGAAAGAGAGTATTATCAATGAAGGAAAACATTGGATGGTATGAAAACTGGCTCATGCTATACACCATACAGAATGGATGTGTTATCTTGACGTGTGTGCATCTAAATTAGCTCCCTGCTGTTCTTAACAAAGTTCCACTTTGCTTGGTTGATGAAGTAAAATTACAACCATGCTTTTACTGACTCATTGTTTATTGAGCTCAGGTTAAACTCAGAAATCTACATTTTATATATATATATATATATGGGAATGGATGCTGTTAGCCCATAGGTTGACTACTACAGTGTTAGCGAATGGCCCAGATTGAATTTGGGCCGATCTGACAGTCACGACCTTATTTCATATTTGAATTTTTATTTTATTTTCTACAAATCCAAATCATTTGAAAATTTAGGCGTACATTCTACTCATCAAGGCACACCTAATAAAAATATAAAAAAATAATTCGTAAAATATAAATTGACCAAAATACTACCGAAAAGTTTCGGGGGGTATTTTGGTCAATTAATATTTTTTGA